GCGTCAAGTTCGGGTTGCAGATTTGACCAATTTGAAAAAATAATGGGTCGGTTCGGGTTGACCCGGCGGGTTGCCGGGTAACCGAAAACCCATTTATTTTTAAAAAATTTGGATTCCGCTTGCCGCTTGCCCCGCCGCGCTGCCTTCCCTGCGCGCGTCGCCCGCTGCCGCCCGCTGCTGCACCGCGCCGTCCCCGCTGCCGTGCGCCTCGCGATGCTGCCCCTCTGCCGCTTCCCCGCTGCCCGCGCGTCTCGAACCGGTCGGGTCGGGTCAACCCGACAACCTGCCGGGTCGGGTCCGGGTTTCAAATTTCTGACCAGTTTGAAACTCGGGTCAGTTTCGGATTCAACCGAACCCGACCCGTCACCGCGAAATTGAAACCTAAAAATACATTAGAATTTGATTAAATAAAGTGTTTTCCACTAATAAAGTATAATGGATGGAATATCTTTGAAAAGATATGTAAGAAAAATGTTATAGTGGAGACTTAGGGGTGTTTGTTAATTAGAATAAAGGGAGTGCTCTTCGTGATAAACGTGAGGAAAGGAATAATTCATATAATTCTTTGATTATAATTAAAGTGAGCTTTATTAAATTATGAAAGAGCTTTTCTAGACTTTAGTGTTTGGATACAAGTCTTTGAAGTGATTGAAGTTGAGTTTTGAGGGCAAATTTTGATTAATTATTTTTGTGGTGGATTACGAATTTGGTTTGGAGACCAATCAGAAATGCGCCATGTCACACCTATGTGCTCGGTAACCGGCAGCTTGATACTGCTTGTACCACGACTCAATATTGTTTGGTATCGCGGCTCGGTACCATTAACGTGATGCATTCTGATTGGTCTTGGACAGTATTTTGAGTCTAGTCTCCGCACAAAATAATTTCTTTTAATTTTGTTAAATGAACTTCAAAAAAATTTTTATTTAAAAAGTAATAAATTTTTTTTTATAATTTTTATTTATTATACTATTATTATTAAATAAATTTTTATTTATATATATTTGGGATGTTTGCATCATTTTATAAAGTTAGTTGTGAAGTTGTTATGTAAAAATTAACTTTAACTATTTTGATTGTATAAAACAGCTTCCTCTATATAATTTT